TGAGCTCCATGGCCCAGATTATATATTTCCTCACCCTTTTTACTGTTTCTCATCATTCTGCCCTTAACCTTTCCTTGTGTTGCACATTGGTTTGGGGATATCTAGTTTTAAATTATTAGAATTTTTATTAAGCTCAACTGCCACCTCTAATGTTCAGGAAATCTATGTGAGCAATACATACGTGGCTCTTTATACACAGAAAACAGGTCATGTTTCTCAGAAAGAATTTAATTTGCTCCCATTTTCTAGTCTGCTCTATATCAGTGTTTCTCGACCTTAGCAACTTTAAGATAGTGGACTTCAATTCCCAGAATTCCCCATTTCCAAGTTTAGAACTATGGCTTTTCTTTTCCACAGTCTAAGTCAGTGGTGGCGAACCTATGGCATGCGCGCCAGTGGCGGCACTCAGAGCCCTCTCTGTGGGCATGCGCACCATTGCCCCAGCCCCGCTTTCCCCCCATGGCCCCCTCACCAGCAGCCCTCCTTGAGAAGAGTCGCCCCCAAGAGTGGCCCCGTGAAGCAGCATAGCTAATGTCATGGCAGCCGGGCAGCGGGGACAAGACTCCACCCTCACGGCCCATCATGCGTAATTGATGCTGCGGGGCGCGGGCAGAGGGCGTGGCCACCATGGTGCTCCTGGGCCACCTGGGCGATCTGTGGCGGGCTGTGGAGATGGTGAGTGGCCCTGTGGGTGGGCGGGGTAGGGACGGAGCGGGGGCGGGATGGAGGTGGGGTGGGGACGGAGCAGGGGCGGGATGGAGGTGGAGTGGAGACAGAGCAGGGGCTGGATGGGGGGCAGGGATGGTTTTTGGGCACTCGGTCTCTAAAAGGTTCGCCATCACTGGTCTAAGTCAATGAAAAGGTATTTGCAAATAGATTTAAATTAAGGAAACAAGTTTTTTTGAAATAGCAAAGTAGGACTTAATATTATTTCTGTGCTTTTACATTTGTATGGAGCAATGTTTCTTAATCTTAGCAATTTTAATATCAACTCCAAAATAATGACAATTCTTATGCAGTAGAATACTTTCTTTCAAAAAAAACTTCAGCATTTTTTTTAACAAACACATCATTACAACAGTTACTGGGAAAGTGTATGAATGGCTGGCTGGGGAATTTTGGGAGTTGAGATCCATTCATCTTAAAGTTAAGGTTGAGAAAAATAGCTGGCTGGGGAATTTTGGGAGCTGATGTCCACAAGTTTTAAAGTTGTCAAGGTTACAGACCCCTGACTTAGAGTCTTAGATCAAGTATGTCCAGAAGAAAACAAACATAACAGATAGCTTACAAGGACTTAGCATCCACTTTACTCCAAGTCCTGGGACAATTGCCAGCAATTGAATTTGTGAATCAGTTTCCAGAGAAAGGATTTTGAATGGAATCAATCTTAAAGAGCCAATCAAAGCAAATAACCCTGAACTGAAGGGATCAGTGCAGGCATCACCCAGAGTCCCAAGAAGGTGTTGATGAAATCATACAAGGCCTTGCAGCACGTGCTACTGTATTTCTATTGCATGAAAGTTCAAACTGTTGAATAGAGGAGCCATTTTTCTTTTTCTTATAACAAAAAATAAATAAAACAGGCAGTAATCTTAATGCATCTATTTTAATTAAAACAATGACAAAGTCAGTCCCCCAGAATGGGTCGCCCAATGGGTGGGTAAAAACCAAGTATTCTTCCCTGCCTCCTCTTCTGATGTTGTTGCCATAAAGGTATTGTCCATCCCTGGATTAATGATGTAGTAGGAAGTGGGTGCAAAGTTCACTATTCAGATGAGGGTCATATCTGGACTTAATTGAGATGCTAGTGGTCATAGAAAAGCTCTAGATGGCATAGGGCCAGATTATGGTGGACCACTGCTTAAATATGAACCAGGAGTGTGCTGTAGCTGCCAAAAAATCCAACGCAGTACTAAGCTACTGAACAGAGAGACGGCATCAGGAATAAGAGAAGTGATAGAACTGTTTTATACTGCATTAGCAAGGCCACACCTGGAATACTATGTCCATTTCTGGTCACCACGATACAAAAAAAGATGCTGAGGCCCTTGAAGGAGTGCAAAAAGCAAATAATAAAGAGTCTGGAGGCTAAACTGTATGACGAACAGCTAAGGGAACTAGGTGTGTTTAGCCTAATAAGGAGAAGGATTGGAGGTGATATGATAGCCATCTTCAAATACTTGAAGGGCTATCACAGAGAAGAGTGTCAATTTATTCTCCAGAGCACCTAAGGGCAGGACAAGAAGCAATGGGTGGAAGCTAGTCAGAGAGAAAGCCAACCTGGAACTTCCTGACAGTGAGAATAATTAGTCAATGGAATAGCCTGTGGAAGCTCTATCAAGTAAAGATTAGACAACCACTTGTCTGGGGTGGAATAGACTCCTGCCTTGGGCAGGGGGTTGGACTAGAAGACCCCCCAAGATCCCTTCCAACCCTATGATTCTATTTTCTGTGTGCAGGACTGCCTGTCCCCAGTTATTTATGTCCATGTCACAAGGTCTGAGTGGACATGCTCCAGGTCCCTTCTCTGGAAGAGTGCCATCTAATGGGACCCAATTATATGTGCTTTCTCAATCACAGCCTACCTTATGGAACAGTATCTCCCCTAAGATGCAGATGACCTTGTTAATTTTCTGGAAAGCCTTGGCTTTTTCCACAGGCCCAGCTTCACATGTATGGGTTTCATTAGTTTTTAGGATCCTCAGTTTTGTTGCAATGCTGGTTTTTTAAAATTTATTTCTTAAAATCAATTTTTATATTGTAAGCCACTCAGAATCACTACACTGAGATTGGTGGCTATATAAATTCTATAAACAAGCATTCTATTCACAGATCACTTGTTTGAGCACTAATGGTTCCAAATTCATTTTCGCGACATCTCAGATGCAATTGGGAAATAACCCTGCTTGAAATTCTGGAGTTCTGTGGTTGGGTTAGATGAACTTAAGACTCAATTTGGGGGTGATTAAAAAGATCAACATTCGATGTAATTACAACACATTTCCTTTGAAAGCAACGGTTAATATGGCCATGTAAGAAATTTCAGCTTCAGTTAAAAATACTGCAATGCAACTTCCCCCCTCTACACAAGAGGAGTTTTGACCACAATAAATGTGTCACAGAACCTTTGAGGCATTCATTCCCAACTCATCTCTGAGTTTGCACAATCCATTGAAATTGATTTAAAAATTATCTATTTTAGAGATTTGTAAAATACATTTGATACATTAACTAAATGGGCCAGGTTCATATAAAGTATTTAACTACACAAAAAAGTACACAATTGCCAACCATGACATGCTATATGAATGTAGCTATTGGACTCACAGTTGGCCTTCAGTGCGTGCATGTATTTCTGAGTTTAGTGAGATGCAGGCAATAGTTTTTAAATTAAAGATCCTTGTTTGCAAACCCAGAAAATTAGTAAATTCAGAATTAAGATTAATGTGTTACACAATACAACAGAAGGCATGGCGTAGAATAGAAGGCAATTATTGAATTTTGGACAATGTGCCCAAATTGATCAATATTATCATTACCATTAGCAAGGAAGGCTGCAAGGAACACAGGGACAACTAAGGTTGGTAACTAAGGGGTCATCTGTCATCACCCCACTATTAACATCACCCTCTGGATCACTACTCCAGACCTACTTTTTTTTTTCTAATTTCTAATTTCTATTCAACTGGTGTTTTCTGATTCCTGTTGTCATAAGCAGCCCTGTCTGGTCTGTCTGTAGTACTGTATTTCCTCGTAGGTACAGTCATGCCCCACTTCAGTTGGCTAGTGAAGGCCCCTCTCCCCCAGTCATTGCAGCTGTCTTCCCCAATGACTTCACCTTGGGCTGCTGGGCTGCCTACCACCCTTCAGAAGGAATTTTTTTCCACATAAAGCCTCTCTCCATTTTGCTCTGTGAAGCAAATATCAATTCTGAATTACCTGAAACACCAGGTAACAAAGGCACAGTGGGTTCTGTACAGGTAGTTCTTGATTTACAACCAAAATTGAGCCCATAATTACAGCCATAAGTTGTTGTGGTTGTAAGCTGAGGCATCACGTGACCAGATTCAAAGTTACAACCATTTTTACAATGTTCCTTAAGTGAACCCTGCAGTTGTTAAGCAAACTCTGCAGTTATTAAGAAATATGATACTTGTTTGGTGAATCCATTTTCTCCAATGAGCGTTTCTTTTTCTATACTGAAAATAGAATGCTTGCAGTAACTTAAAGGATAAGTCATGTGGGAGAACAAAGTATTAGAACAAAGGTCTTCAAACTTTGCAACTTTAAGACTTGTGGACTTCAACTCCCAAAATTCCTCAGCCAGCTTTGGTTGAGAACTTCATTTAACATAACATGGTCTTTCTCCCTAGGATGCAGAACATTATTTAACACACACACCCCATGCCCTGAAAAATGGCACTGTGCTATAATGATTGGGAAAGAACAGGAGTCCCTAGTTCAAATCTACCCTTAGCTATGGAAGCTCATTGGGATGACTTGAGCCTAATGTTTCCCTTCAGCACTACTGTGCACCGTGGTGATGATTATAGGAAACAGCTGGAGAAGGAAGTGCTACATAGACATCCTGATCTCCCAGAGCAGGTGTCTCCAGCCTTGGCAACTTTACGACTTGTGGACTTCAACTCTCAGAATTCCTCAGTTCTGGGAGTTGAAATCCACAGGTCATAAAGTTGCCAGGGTTAGAGATCCGTCCTACAGGAAAGGCAAAATGTAAATCTATCACCACCATCAGGGCAACTGATTTGTTGCATTCAGCCCCCATCAACCCCTTCAGAAAAGAAACAAAATTCCAAAAGGAACACTTGATATTTTTTTTTGTAAAAATAGACTTTAATATAATAAATTATGTTTTTAAAATAAAAACATAGCTCATCCAACGTCCCCACTCAATAACCCATACTGAACGAAAGGATTCCTTCTCCCAACAAACATGCAGAGGTACATCGGCTGCAAGAAAGGGGGACACATTTATTAAAACACACACACATAAATCTCTCAGTCATGAAATAGAGGTCACCTCTGAATAAGGGGTGCCCCTTCCCACAGGGTAGGCACATGGGCTGGCACGGTGCCCACTAATCCTCACCATTAGAACTGCTTAGTTCAGCAGCTGGAAATCTTACAAAAGGCAGACCACAGGAGAAGGACGCTGATTGCGTCTGGGCTGCCGTCTTAGTTTAGAATGCCAGTAACCAGGGACAAAGGATAAACTCTCATACTTATACATATCAACAACTTAATCCAACTTAGCCATTCTCTCTCTTCCCCCCCCCCTTCCTCTCTCTGTTTCTTCAGCAGTGGACATTTCCCACAGAATTTTACTTCACAAGAACATGGTACCAATTTTGGGCCCAACTTTGATCCAGGCAAATAAGTCTTCTACTAAGAAAAGAATCAGGATGTCATTCTGAGCTATTTTAAAGAAAATTTCCATAATACAGTACAATCTGCATTTTGATATATTCTTGGGCATAAGCTAAGGGTGAGTTGAACATCTCTTATGAAATGAAGTAAATGCTACCCAACTGATGATCTATTTAAGCTAAGTCAAGGTCAA